GTACTATGTTGGATGTGTTAGTGTTTAATTGATAGTTTAGATCCTCTTTTAGTCCATTTTGATATTTTGAACTAGTGTGGTATTTCTATTTATACTTGTTTATTGCATTCATGTCATGTTTTTTCATTTTTCCCCATGCTTTTACTGCTTCCGTCGACCTAAACAGGGTATAGGCCGACTCATGTTCTTCCAAATTCAAGCATAAATGATTCTGCCAGTCATGCGCCGACCTGAAGGATCATCATGCGTCGACTCATACTGAATGTTTCAATTTTTTTGGAATTTTAACATGCATGTGTTGATGCATCCCAAGCTCGAGGTCGACGCATCGCTTCGCGAATCTGAATTTTTTGAAAAATGAAGCGTTATTGCATTGGGAATTACATTACATACTATTCATTGTGTCTTTTCATTTCATCCTTTCATTTTTCTTTTTCATTCATTGCATCTTATCATTTCATCTATCTCTATACACCAACAACTCTCTAAATCTTCTACAAACCCTAAAATCCATTTAAAGAACTCTCTCAAATTAGGGATTTCAAGTTCAAATTAGTGAACAATTTGGTCTTTCTCCACCATTTTCTACTGCGGGTACTGTTCATCTTCTTCCACAAAGGTGTTTCCATGGCTTCTTCAAGGGTAACCAGTAAGAGGTCAACCAGAGGTTTTACTTCTCAAGCATCTACTTCACAACCTCCGTCTCAAACTTCGTCTGAAATTCCGGTAAACTCTATGTCCCTTCTTTCTGATGAACTAACTGAGGTTTATGAAAAGGATTTTAAGAAAATGTCAGTTATTAAGCAGTTTGTCTATTACCCAAAAGTTGCTGAAAGAATGAACATTCCAGAAATTATTGACATGCTAAATCATCAAAAGTTCAATAATTTCTTAGAATGTAATACCAATTACAACGAGGACTTTGTTAGGCTGTTTTACACTAGTTTGAAAGGAAAATTCACTGACTATCACTTTGGTTACAAGTTAGGGGGCAAAAGTCTAAAGGTTGATAATACTGATTGGAGAGACCTGTTTGATATGTTTTCGTGTCTCCCGATCTCAGAATAACTGATAATGAATTGGCTCTAGATTATGAATTTAAATATGCTTTGAACTCTATATTAAAAGACCCCTATCCAGAGGAACTTGTTGCTAGTGATCTGTTCCCAAAATCTGTCACTATTGGTCGGTTGAAGCTATAAGATAGAATCCTACAGTGGATTGTGTCTCATATTATCCGACCAAAGAAGGGAGGATATTCTAGAGTTGACCAAGCGGAAGTGCACTTGGTGTATCTTCTCAAGAATAAGAAAAAGGTTAACTGGCCATACTACATTGCTAGTCGAATTTTTGATGTGAAGTAATCAAGTAGAGGAACATCCTTATGTTATGATTTATTTATCCAGAGCGTATTGGATCATGATGGGGTTGTTGTTCAAAATATTCCATACATATCTGTTTCTAATGACCAATTATTTAGTCAGAAGACCATGACTCTAATGGGTTAGATTTGGGATCCTTAAGAGAAAAGGTATGTGGTCAAGACTAAACACTCGGGTGCAGGGATTCAAGATCAAGATGAGGATGAAGAGGAAGACCAAGAGGAAGATGAGGAAGCTCATCATATGGAAACTGATCCTTCTTTTGATGATCATAATGCTAGTGGTTGGTTAGGTGGTTCACCTGGGCAGAATCCATATGCTAACCAAGGCTGGGGAGAATGAAAACACACTGGTTGGACTAACCAAGGCACCTTTTATATGCCTCCATATCCACTTCAATATCAACCCGATAATTCTAAAGTCCTTGAGATGTTATGGAATATGAAGCTTCAACAAGAGAATTTTGTAGCTCTCCAAGAAGAAAGGTTTACAGCTATGTAGGGTCATATTCAAGCACAAAGTGATAATTTTGATTTGTTTTCCTCTAGAGCTTTGAGCAGGTTTGATGCTATGGCTGAAACAACGACAAATCAACATTGATCTCTTTCTGTTAGCTTCAACATACTCAACAACAATGTTCTTAGCTTTACTGAACCATTAGATGCCCAAGGAGCACCAAATCAGGATTATTCCTTCAGGGGGAGAGGTCACCCACATAGGGGGGGAATAACTTAGATTGTCGAGTTATGTTGGTGTTGTGCATGTCATTTAGCATTTTGTTGTGTGTTTCATTTTGTTATTTGTTTTTCTATTTTGTTTGACTTGAAACATGTAATGAACTACTTCTGATGTGTAATGCATTAAGTTTACTTCTCTATGTTTCATGTGTTATTTAATTCTATATCTCTTGCATTAACAACATTATATGTGAATGTTTGTTGATGTTTTATCTGTTGCAAAGCGTATGGTTGCGTACATATGAATATGATTTGATTACGAATAACTTTTTTCTTCACTCTTTTTGATGTTGTCAAAAGGGGAGAACACACAAAAAAGTGTTTCACAAAGAAATAATGCTCCTAATTTTACAAAGGGAAATGCATACAGTCAGGGGGAGAATGCTCTTCACAAAGTACTTAATGTGTGGAAGATTTTGCAAAGGTTTTGCCATCATCAAAAAGGGGGAGTATGTGAGAGCAAGATTCCTTAGTGCTTTATTTTAATGATGTCAAAACTAGTAAGATTTTGTATTTGTGTACTTTGGACGGTATCATCGTGTCTTAGCTTGCACGCATCCTTTTAATATGCATATAATAATCCACATATATGAATCTATGCATATACCATCATTCCCTATGTGAAAATTATGCAGTGAATCATTTTTGGATACATTAGGTCGACTAAAAAATTTATAAAAATGTGTTTGTGGCTATCTGGAACCCTTGTGTCGACTCATAGATGTGTGAAGGTCGATGCATGACTTGGTTCAGGTAGATGCATGGTTTGATTTTCTGCGCAAATTTGCTTTCTGGAGTGTTCAGGTCGACTCATAGAATGTTGAGGTCGACCTCTCGCTCATTTAAGCATATTTTTATGCTTTTTTATGTTTTAAAAAGCTGTTAATTCTGTTATGTGGTCTTGGTTATACATTGAATTTTGTAGGACAACCAACAAGAAAAGTGAAAATATACATTGAATTTGCTCATCATCTTCATTCTCACACTTGCATTCTTCAACAATTATACATAATCATTTTTATTGATCTTTGCATAGTCGAGGTGATAACGTCCAAACTTAGGATTTGTATATCGTGGTTTGGGTTGAGAATTCAGTGGGTTTTTTCTTGAATAAAACCTTTGGGGTTTTGTCCTCCAAGATCTTGAGGATTTGGGGCGGGGGGGGGGGGGGGGTTGTATAAATCTTTGGGTCACAGATTCAGTCGAGTGAAAGGCTTGAGGAACAGTGGGTTTGGTCAAGCAAGTAACGGTAATCGGAGGATTGTGTCGAAAGATTTAGGATTGGACATCTTGCAATCAAAATCAGCCGAGCGAAAGACTTGAAGATTCAAGTGAGTGGCGGTAACCGGAGGTTTGATCGAATAATTTGATGTTATTGGTTCGGATAGAATCAAAGGGAGAGAAGTGGATAAAATTAACATCAACAATTAGGTTTGAGTGTGTGATGGCTATAACTTTTCTTGTATAAAAATTTGCAACTTGATATTATACATATCTCAATTCTAGTTTTAGAATTGGGGGCAGACGTACCAGAAGCAAGGACGAAAAGGGGAACTACCTAAACAAATCGGGTGTCGTTCTCTCTTTCTCTATCTCTTTACTTTGTGTTGTTAACGTTTGTGTGATATCAACGCTTCGATAAATTTCAGTTGTAGTGTAATGGTGAAAACCTATTTTAGAAACTCATTGCAATCACTTTGATTGCAATTGTGAAAAATTCTGCACTATCATTTCATAGGAAATTAAACTTGGGGTGTTGTGCACATCAAGTGTTTGACATATTGATCACACACAAACTGTTCGTAATATTGTCAATTTAATTTTACCTTAATAATTCATTGGAAACCAGTTGATTCAAAGTGGTCATAATTTAATTGACTATGAAAATTGTTGATTCGTTTATCTCATCAATTTCATTCCATATTGGCTACGCATATCCGATCTTACCAATAACAGTTTGTTTAGACGATTAAAAATCCACGACCACTTCCCTTCGGTCATATGATGCATCCATGAATATTGTATTGAGAAGACTCAAAACCGAGTAAATATTCATTGTCATGAATGATAATGGAGATTTCATCTCCCCTAACACACAAGTAGGAAGCTAGCTTAACAGAATGCTACAAACATTAGAAATTGCTTTGACATGAAATATGGTAGTTTTTTAGCTGTTTCAATTAAAGGTGGGGGAGACATATTATGGTTTGGAAGAGGATAGGGTCGAACTTTAAGGAAGAGGAATAAGAGATCGTCCATCGACAAAGAAGAAAAAGGACAAAAAATCTAGGTTAACAGTGTGCAAATTACCATTCTCGATCTCATCTTATATGAGCTTTAAAAAAACGATACACTGCCACGATTCAAATAAAATAAAAATTACTTATAGTAGTAATTTTTCAAAACAATAATGACCATTTATGTCATTTTATAAAAAAAGAAGAAGCAAGTATTGTTTCCCATTCATTTTAGGAATGACTCCTTTTTATTGAATCTCAATCTAATATTTTTTTCCTTTCCTTTCTCATAACAAACCAATCAAAGAAAAAAAAATATTCTTCAATCTTTCTCTCCTTCCTCTTTCTTTACTTCAAAGTTTCCTTAAAACCAAACACAACATTAGTACAATCTTGTGAGCCATTATATATTTAGATACGGCGCAAGTGATTATGAAAGAAAAAGAAAAGGTTAGATCAATTAAATAAAATCATAAGCACGTTCGAATTGAATGCAGGCGACTCTCTGTCACAGTCTTAGCGGAGGAGCTACCTTGGGTTAGTTGAAACTTGGAACCCCAACCCCAACGCCAACAACAAACAACTTTATTAGGTAAACACGAGGAGAACACGAATCAAAGGGAGCGAAGAAGGAAAAAAAGCGAATGGTTAGAATGAAAAGAAGATCAACTTTAGTGACTTTAGCTTTTCTTATGTTCATGGGTATTGCTGTCTATTTCAGACTCTGGGCTATTGACTATAACATTTCTATTGATGACTCTGATATCTTAAGGTTTCTTCCTTCGTATTCTTCTCTTAATTATCGTAAATTGCATATTGTAGACTTTTTCAATGAATGTTCCTTCACTGGTCGGAATTAGGATCTGAGTTCCCATATCAAAGATTAGTTTTGTGACTGCTGAGACGCTTCAATTTCTATTTCAATTTATAATTCAATTTATATATGATAACCTTAGTCTATGTAGTGCTCACATTTGAGGTTGAAAGTGTGTCTGTTATCCAACATGTTCGATACACACACGAACATGCAGTTACATTCAATCATTTTTATTTTCTCAAATTATTATTAGTGTCAGTGTTCTGTCTGGTGTCTTGTCTTGTTTAGTGTTTGTGTCGGTGCTTCAAAGCCTATAGTATTAGTGTTTTCCATCTTATAATGACAACCTTAGTCTATGTTAGTGCTCACATTTGAGGTTGAAAGTGTGTCTGGTGTCCAACATGTTCGTGTGTCTGATACACACAAATGTGCAGTTACGTTCAATCATTTCTATTTTCTCAAATTATTATTAGTGTTAGTGTTCTGTGTGATGTCTTGTCCTGTTTAGTGTTTGTGTCGGTGCTTCAAAGCCTATAGTATTAATGTTTTCCATCTTTTATTATAAACTATAGTGTATAATGCTGCTTGGTCCGCTCAACTGTATATGTAGGCGACAGTTTGATATTGCTAATAGGGAGGCTATGGATGAATCTGCTGAATGGAGGCAAAAGTATGATACAGAGGTAGATAGGGCAAATAAGTGCATCAAGGAACTTCAAGTGGTATGTGTTCTTCTCTTAGGATTTTTCATTTTCTACCTTCCAAATTGTATGGCTAGAAAAGTTTAGGTTCAAGTATAACACTCTTGTGGTTTGTTGTTCTTCACACGTAGACGCCTTAAGTTCGGTATGTAGGAATGAGATTTTTCATACAAGATGTAAATTAGTACTTGATGAAAACAGCATTTACATTTTCAACTAATAAAAGAACTAACAGTTCCCTTTGTCTTTCCTGTATAATCTTGTGTTTGGCAGTTTAAGGAGTCCTCTCCGAAAGCGGGGGATGCTACTGGTTCTGGTATTAACCATAAATTTGCAGTACTACAAAAGGTATGTCTTTATAATTTCTCAATCAAACTTCATTCTGCTTTCCCTATGCTAGTAGCGTTTCTATTCGTTCTCCAACTTTGGGAAACAAGGATAGAATTTTTGAAGGTTTACCACACTATGAACTACTAATTTTGTTAGAGACACAACGCAGGGCTAACTTATTATCATTCTCAAATTTCAAAAATCAATATTTTTTTGCCAAGCCCGACTATTTCATTCAAGTCAAATGCTACAAATTTATCTAACCAAGTGATTGGATTCAAGTGTTTAATGAGCTCTAGTTAAGGATGAATCATTTGAGAAAACCTAAGTGTAAACCCTGGAACAGTCATTGGTTAGATTTTACTTACTATAGAAGAAACATGTTGTATATTTCATTGTGATTGGAACTCTTACATTGTGAGGTATAAATAGAATACATAAGCTGTACACTAATTTGTTAATAAACAGAGAAATAATTTCCTATAATTGCTGCTACCTAAATAAGGAAATAACAACTACGTAAATAAGAAAATGACAATAATAGATAATAAATCTATTTACACCACTGTCTTGTAACAGCTTGACAAATCAGAATCAAATGATTATGATTTGATATGTGCTAATCTTCAACACTCCCCTTCAATCTGGGTGGTAGATGTCTATCATACCCAGATTGGATTTGATATTTTCATAAGTATTCCTTGGAAGAGCTTTGGTTAAGATATCTGCAGTTTGCTTGCATGATGGGACATGATCAATACTTATAATCTTATGATCAATTTTTTCTTTAATGAAGTGTCGGTCAATTTCCACATGTTTTGTTCTATCATGTTGGACTGGATTCTTTGCAATGCTTATAGCAGCTTTGTTATCACATAGTAACCTTACAAAGTGGTTGACATGAATTTTGATTTCATCTAGCATGCTCTTAAGCCACATTCTTTCACAAATACCTAGGGCCATAGCTCTAAATTCTGCTTCTGCACTACTCCTCGCCACTATAGATTGTTTCTTACTTCTCCAAGTTACTAGGTTCCCCCAGACAAATGAACAATAGCCTGTAGTCGATTTTCTGTCTGTGGAGCATCCTGCCCAGTCTGAATCTGTATAAACTTCAATGTCCCTGTTTGAATTCCTCTTGAAGTGGAGGCCTCGGCCTGGTGTGCCTTTGAGGTATTGGAGGATTCTATTCGCCATTTTCATGTTAGACTCAGTTGGATTTGACATGTAGCGACTAGCCAAGCTTACAACGAACCCAATATCGGGCCTAGTGTGAGATAGGTAGATTAGTTTCCCAACTAGACTTTGATATCTATCTTTGTCGGCTGGTGGACTTTCATTTTCTCTTCCTTTAATTTGTTCTATTGGTGTATTAGCTGCCTTGCACCCGAGCATTTCAATTTCTTGAAGTAAGTCAAGGGTGTATTTCCTTTGTGATACATAGATACCATCCTTTGTTTGAGCAACTTCCATCCCTAAAAGATACTTAAGTTGTCCCAAGTCCTTAACTTCAAATTCCTTTGCCAATAGTCCCTTTAAATGATCAATTTGATCATAATAATTTCCTGTAATAACGATATCATCAACATAAACAATAAACAAAGCTACCTTTCCTTCCATGGAGTGTTTAATAAACATAGTGTGATCTGATTGACATTGGTTGAACCCGTTTTTTTTGACAACTCGAGTCAATCTATCAAACCATGCCCTTGGAGACTGCTTGAGGCCATAAAGGGATTTTCGGAGCCTGCACACCATATTTGCGGTGCTAGATGATTCAAGTCCAGGAGGAATTTGCATATAAACTTCCTCTTCTAGGTCACCATTTAAGAAGGCATTCTTGATGTCTAGTTGATGGAGTGGCCAATCTAAATTTGCAGCCAAAGAGAGAATAACTCTAACCGAGTTTAGTTTGGGCACCGGTGCAAAAGTCTCTTCATAGTGTACTCCATATGATTGAGTAAATCCCTTTGCTACAAGTCGAGCTTTGTACCGATTTACACTCCCATCTGCATTATACTTCATGGAGAATATCCATTTGCATCCTACCGGCTTCTTCCCTGCAGGTAGGCTTGTGATCTCCCAAGTGCCATTCTTAATTAAGGCCTGAACCTCTTCAGTTACGGGTGCTGCCCATTTAGAATTTTGGAGTGCCTCATGGATGTTGCTTGGAATATATGTATTGTCAAGAGCTGTTACAAAAGTCTTGTATCTCTGGGACAGTTTTCCATAAGATACAAATCTTTCAATGGGATGTTTAGTACATGATCTTACATTTTTTCCCAAAGCAATAGGAATATCAATATCATCAACATTCACAGAGTTAGGAGCAGTATTACCTGAGGGAACACCATTTTCTAGAGTCTTGGAGGTTTCTTGGTTCTGCCTTGGAGCTGTGCAGGACTCTATTACCTTCTTGCTCTTCCTGGAGTACACTTTCATGTTGTTTCCTGGTGCAGTTTCTGTTGTAGGGGCTGTTGTTTCTACTGCAATTTCCTCTGCATTTTCTGACGTAGTTTCTTCTAGTCCACGTGTAGGTTCTGCAGTTTCTGTTGCATTTTCATTTGGTTCAGGTGTAGGTTTTGATGCCTCAGCCGTGAGTTTGGGTTCAGTTAGCTCAAGTTCCAAAAGTTGGGATTCTACCACTTTAATTGGATAGGTGTTCTCCCCCTAAATGCCAACTTTGGGGTAATATGGTTGATTCTCAAAAAAGGTTACATCCATGGTGTGGTAGAATTTTTTGTTTTGAGGTGAATAACATTTGTATCTCTTTTGGTGAGGAGAGTAGCCGAGGAATATACATTTAATGGATTTCGGGTCAAGTTTACTGCGTTGGGGATCAAGATTATGGACAAAGGTTGTGCATCCAAATATTTTCAACGGAATAGATGTAAGGATACGATTGGTTGGGTATAAGGTTTGGAGAGTGGAGTAAGACATATGAAAGTTAAGGATCCGGGAAGGCATTCTGTTTATTAGGTAGGTTGCAGAGAGGACGGCTTCTCCCCAAAACTGGTTAGGTACATTTGTAGCTAGCATGAGAGATCAGGTTACTTCTAGGAGGTGTCTATTCTTTCTCTCGGCAACCCCGTTCTACTGAGGTGTATCCACACATGAGGTTTGGTGTATTATTCCTTGTTGCATAAAGTATGAGCTCAGTGCAGAATTATAGTACTCACGACCATTATCACTCCTAAGCACTCTAATTTTGCTTTGAAATTGTGTTCGCACCATGGTATGGAAACATTCAAATATTCTACCAACTTCCGATTTGTCTTTCATAAGGTAGAGCCAAGTGATCCGTGTGTGGTCATCAATAAAGGTGACAAACCATCTTGATCCAGTTACATTTCTGACCCGTGATGGTCCCCATACATCGCTATGAATAAGATAAAAAGGTTGGGAAGGTTTATAGGGTTTAGGTGGGTGGGGGCTGCGTGTATGTTTGGACAATTGACAAATTTCACATTGAAACAACTTTTGATTTTTATTGAATAATTTAGGAAGCATTTCTTTCATGTACATAAAATTTGGGTGGCCTAGTCTATAGTGCCACAGCATTGCAGAATTTTCACTACATGTAGAAACTACAATGCAAGAGGTTGCCTCAGATTCTGGTTTAGATGCTTCAGCCTGAAGGATAGAGAGTCCAGCACATTCTTTAGCATTGCCAATCGTCCTCGCCGACTCCAAAATCTGAAATTCACACAGGTTAGGAAAGAATTTAGTGATGCACTTCAAATCCTTTGTAAGTTTACTGATGGACAACAAGTTACAGTCAAGTTTAGGCACATAGAGTACTGAACTAAGAGTAATATTTTGTGAAATAATGACTGAACCTTTACCCATGACCTTAGAAAGGGTATCATCAGCAATTCGAACAGTCGAATCATTTTGACATGGAGAAAAGCTATCAAAGACATTCAAATCTCCAGTCATGTGATCAGATGCTCCTGAGTCAATAATCCATGAATTTTGTTTTCCCCTGCTAGTGTTTAGAGCATGCAAAAAATTACCTTTTTGTGCCACTGTAGCTGCCAATTGTTTGTTGAAGCATTTTTTGTAAGGCTTCCATTTGCTCCTTGTTGAATGGTGATGAGTGAGAATTTACCTCTGCTGTGTTCCCTCTGCTGTCCCGGTTTTTGGTCCATGATGACTTTCCATGAATGATCCAACATGTGTCCTTGGTATGACCCGGTTTCTTGCAGTGGTCACACCGAGGCCGAGTTTTCTTTTGGAAAGAACGTTGATCTCCCCTTGCTGCCATTGCAGATCCTTCTATACATGAGGCTGCACTGGATTTTCCAAGCATCACTTTTCTTCTGCTCTCCTCTCTTCGTATTTCCGAGAATGCTTCTCGAATTTTTGGAAAAAGAGGTTTGGTTCCAAGGATTCTCCCACGAACTTCATCAAGTTCTGTGTTCAAACCTAATAGAAATTTGTAGACTCTATCTTTCTCCACCAACTCTTTGTACTTCTTTTTATCATCTGTGCAGCTCCATTCAACTTCATCATATACATCCAATTGCTACCAGTGACGATTGAGAGTATTAAAATACTCTGTGACTGAGCGGTCATCTTGACGCAAATCATGGAGTATGCTCTTTATTTCAAAGATTGCAGATGTATTGTCGACATTAGAGTAAGTTTCCTTTACGGCATCCGACATCTCTTTGGCAGTGTCATAGTACAAAAAATTTTCTCCAATATCATTTGTCATGGTGTTTAGTAGCCATTGATATTACTAGACTGTTTTCTAATTGCCATTTTTCGATGTTGGAATCCCCCTTTTTTGGACACTTGGAGTCTCCTGTGATATATCCTTCCTTCCCTTTTCCTTGAAGGTAGATTTTGACCGAGCGCACCCATTGATTGTAATTCTGGCAATTCAATTTGTGACCAGTGATAGGAAGAGCATGTCCTTCAGCCAAACTGTTGGCTGAATTTTCTGCTTTAGTATCTGCCATGGGTGGTGCTCAAGGTTTAGGGATGGTTTAGATCTTGTGCTTTGATACCATATAGAAGAAATATGTTGTATATTTCTTATAATTGCTGCTAATTTGTTAACAAACAGAGAAATAATTTCCTATAATTGCTGCTACCTAAATAAGGAAATAACAACTACCTAAATAAGAAAATAACAATAATAGATAATAAATCTATTTACACCACTGTCTTGTAACAGCTTGACAAATCAGAATCAAATGATTATGATTTAATATGTGCTAATCTTCAACACTTACTATGCAGCCGAACTCCGGATTACCAAAGCCCCTTTCTCTGGGAACTGAAGGGTTTAGAAAAAAAAAGTGCTACAAATTTATCTATAAACTATTAAGATTTTCTGCCCTTTCGATTCATGTTGAAACTATTTTTGGCTCTCTTTTGTTATGCATAATTTGTTTTCGTAATATTACAAGTGTGGTAATGACCTTTGACCTTCCAGGAGAATGCAATGTTACTTGAAAGAGTGGAAACATTAAAACGAGAGCTCGAAGAGGAAAAGTCGAAGTGCAATTCACGATACATGAACTAATCATGAAAGCATCGACTTAGAGTGGACTATTTGTTCCTCTGTCCTCAAGTATTCCATTTCTAAGCTCAGATGTTTGAAAGATGTTTGTCGTATATCATTTTCAACCATGGAAGAATTTTTATTGGATTGTTCATGGTCTCGATTTTTCACCTTAGAGAAACTGGCATGGCATCCAGGGAAATGCATGGGTCAAACTCGCCATCCCTTCCCAGTGACATTTTTTAGGTGATTTTATTATCGACAAACATGTTTCTTTATCTCCAGAGATGTCCACTAGCTTACATCATTTAGCATCTTTTTAAAAAAACGGGTGTATAATTATGTTGGAGTCTTGTATCTTGCTAATGCAGCTTTTCTCTGATAGTAGATATCCAGTTCTTCAATTTCAGTCTCTATTATGATACCATATTATAAAATCTGGTGCATCTATGCAAAAGTTAAAATTAAATTAAATTAGTTTTGTATAGGCTATCAGCGGTTTTCATAAGCAATCTTAAAGAACTTATAAAAGTAAGCTAAAAATAGCTTATGAACAATGTCATCAGCTATTTTCATATGGTTTCCCAAAACTTACGTTAGTAGATAAAGTGCAAATAAGTCAATCCTTGCAGGCCCTGAATCTTTACCGTTCTATCTATAATATTCATAATTGAATGAATGGTAGTAGTATTGGAGGAGGCTTCTGTGTCAACTTCTCAACAAATGTCTTCTTCAACAGCCACTTGCTAACTTGCCTTTTTTTATTGCAATTCAAATTCAGAGACCCTGCTCTGGTAGTTACTTTTCTTAACTTTTCTTCTCTGATTGCATCTTTCTCTCTTTAATTGTTTCTCCTCCCTTAGTCTCTTCCACTCTCCCTCAATCTTTCTCGCTCCTCTCATGTCCATCTTCTGCCAGGGCTCCTAACAAGCTCATCTGCTTCCTTGCGTACGCATGATTGTCCGCGACTGATATGAAAACAAACTCAAGAAGACAACCCTTGCCCGATTTGAACATGAACCCATGAAAATCAACGCCTTGATGCGTGAGCTGCCTCTCTACATTCTCCTCTTGTAAGATGGTTCATTTCCCACCAAATAGAAGAGTTTCACGCACACATTGGCTTGTGTCACAGAGGCTGGGTGAAATTGAATTGAGAAGAGCAGTGTGCTCTGCAAATTCTCGTTTATTGAGGTGCAAAAATAGTACAAAAGTGTTGCAAAGATGAGTTCAAGTGCTATATATACAAGGAACTAGCTCACTAACTACTTATTAACCACCTAACAAACTTTTCTAACTGTGTAACTAACATAACAGAATTATAACTGTGAAACTCCCCCTCATGTGAGAAGGTATGATTCCATCATACCTCACTTGGAAAAGCTTTTGCAAGTGGATCAGCAAGTTGAAGAGTGGTCATAACATGAACTAGCTTCAAGAACAAGGACTGCACATGTTGTTTTATGAAATTGAAATCAATGTCTATAACTTGAAACATCACCAATTTTATCAGTGTGAGAAAAATACCAGGATCCATTGGCATAAGTGCAGGTCCTGAAGCCAAGTGTCATGTTTCTTCTAACAGTTGCTGGGTGTATTTTCGTTCAAAACACGACGTTCCCTGCCAGTAGGAACTAGTATGATCACTATACAGAACTGATGCAATGTGATGCTCTAAAAAGGAACGTTTTAATTTATGCTCTGAGGCATACTGCATAGCTCCTCCACTTCCTTCAAATTCCAGCTCTACACTGTCTCTATCCTGACCCTGTTCTTCTTGTATTTGTTCTTCCTTCAAATGACTTTTATATATCAGCTTTGAATATTTATTGTTTTCCTCTATCGTTGTTTACTTCTGATGGAGGTTAAATCTGGAAGGACACTGTTAAAATGTTAAATTTTTTTCTCTAATGCTGGTGGGTAGGCTTAATATATGTGTCTAATGCTTGGTTGTGAAGACAGTAACCAGATTTTTGCAGAAAAGGTAGAAATTTAGGTTTGTCAATTTCTGTTTGGTATTGAAAACCATTGTGAACCATCTATACTAGTGTCTGTGTTGGAGTTGGGGTGACAAATGGGCATGCCCGTTCCGTTTAGGTCCGCTCTTTAAAGGCCCGCAAAAAAATGGAGAGGTGCGGGACAAACATATTTGAGGGTGCGGGCCTAAAAACTTGTCCCGTCCCACCCTAGTGAGGGCGGGACGGGATGAGCCTGCAGACATTGAACCTTTTCAGTCTAAAAATTATAAAATTGTATGTAAAAACCCATGCCCACAAAAGCCTGTAAAAAAACAGGGCGGGGCGGGGAGGGAACATTAAAGGGTGTCCGACGGGCCGGATCAATTTCGCCACCCCTATGTTGGAGTATCTCTTGTAGGCTCTTTAATCAACATTCCTTGTAATCTCTTTTTGTTTGGGTTACATCTGTAGGGTTTTTTCTTCTTTTTCTTCCAATTTTCATTTTTTTTCCTTCCTGATTTCAATTTTCTGTCTTTGAAACTGCATCTCCCAACTTTAGTTTTGCCTCTTCTCAATTTGTGAATAAGAATCATATCTCACATCTTATTCACCTCTTCCCGATCAGTATGTTTGTTCACGTTTTCGATCATTCAACTCTTAATCGAAACGATTCTTAATTGCATTCAACTCATCTCGTTCCACTTTCTGTTTTTGTTTTCACATCTCATTGATCTCTTCTTTTCCCATCTTACACCCCATTCAAATTTCAACCAGCTCTTGTTTTCGCAACTAGCATCACCTCTTGAAATTTCAGAAGATCTAATTCTATATTGGGAGTTTTTACTTTAACTTTTTTTCTATTTGTTCTTAGATTTCAATTCTAGCTGTTGTTTAACCACTTAATGAATACAATGTATTGATTTATAAAAAACATATATGTGATATTTAGTTTCATTGTAATGTAAAATTTTAGTAAAATGATGAATCTGAAAATGTTCTAAAAGAATGATTAGATGAAACACGTAGTATGTTATTTTCTGGATATAAAATCCAAATGTTGTTAACATGAGATGAGGATGTTTTCCATTAACATTGCGAGCAACAAATGTAATGCTAACAAGATAGCTAAAGTGTCATGCTTTACCCTCAACATTTACTTTCAGTCACTAGTTTTGGACAATTATTCCTTTTCTTTTGAAGTGCAAATGTCCATAATGCGAGTTACTTTCATTTTTTTTAACGAAGCACATTGCAGAAGGTTCTAAAAGGATAGGGAATTAGTAAGAATCTAGTATGGTAGGATAACTGAGTCCTTGAGCTTCATAGAAGGCTTCCTTATGTGTCCGGACTTCTCATTTAAGTTATCTTTGGATACTATAAAATTAACATAGTGGTGCAGAACGAAGATACCATATTTAAAAATTTTAGAACAGAATAAAGAAAGTTGTTTATTCCGTCTAAATCAGAAGAGAAAGAATATGTGATAAGTGATAGAATGTAATCCATATTATTTTATTCTGCTCGCTCCATCTAACTTTAAATGATTCAAATAATAGAATATCATTTTATTCCATCTCATTCTGCTCCGTTTCATTTGACATCAATCCAAACAAATCTATGAGACTAACACTTCATGCACTAGTTGGGCCAACTATCTCAAATTCATCTCTAGTATGTCTGGCCGCTAAGGAGTGTATATTACAATACCTTTCCCGAAAAAATTCACATTATCCGCAAGTAATAAATTGAAGGCAAAATATTTCAATCTTTCCACATATTTTCATCAAGGGAGAGGCCTTGCCATTGGATTAAAACCTGCAATTGAAGAGAATCATGATAATAGTAGGAGACAAAATATGATTTTCTGACTTATTTCATTGATAAACTAACAACCTATAAATAGGAAAATACATAACTGAAGGTACCATGAAAATAGGCACTATCTAACACGTTCAAAATAAACTCCTATTGACTAGGTAAACTGAAACAAACTTACTGACACTCCTAAAAACTAGGACAACCCAAACGTGCAAATTATTAAATTTTCTCAACAATCCCTCCCTTAAACTGATGTTCCAGACACACATTCAGTTTAGAAAGAGTTAAGCTTTAAAACTCCCTTCCTCAAATTGAAAAACTTTGTGAAGTATAAACACCAAGTAGCCTCCTGAGCTTCCGAAATGCAGGAAATTTGAGAGGCTTGGTTAGAATATCTGCTATCTGGTTTTCACTTCTGCAGTAAGATTAATGACTCCATCATTTGTGAGATCCCTAAAAAAAATGATACTTCACATCTATATGTTTGCTTCGACCATGTAAAATTGGGTTTTTTGAAAGCTTTATTGCTGAACTGTTGTCACAGTAAATCTAAGTAGGTCCATCCTCCTTAAAATGCAGCTCTTTAAGAATTTTCTTTAGCCATATAGCTTGACAAGCACAAGTTGTTGCAGCAACAAATTCAGCTTCAGTGGATGATAATGTGACAATATGTTGCTTCTTTGATGACAATGAAACAACTCCTTTCCCCATCATGAAAACATACCCAAATGTGCTTTTTCGATCATCCGAATCTCCTGCATAATCACTATTCGTAAACCCAAACATATCTGACTTTTCTCCACTCTTGTAGAACAGCCCATTGTCCTTAGTACCTTGCAAGTAACGAAAAATTCTTTTTGCAGCCAAGAGATGAATCTCTGTAGGACATTCCATGTACCTGCTAATCACATTTACAACATGCATTATATCAGGTCTTGTTGTTGTCAAATACATTAAACTCCCCACTATTTGTTTGTAAGTAGTGTCATCAACCTTCTTTCCGTCATCATCTTTGTTTAACTTCACACCAAACTCAAATGGAGTATTTACAGGATTACAATCCTTCATTTGAAACCTGTTCAAGATTTCTCGCACATACTTCTTTTGAGAAATAAAAATTCCAGTAGAAGATTGCACCACTTCAATGCCAAGAAAGTAATGCATCATGCCAAGATCAGACATCTCAAATTCAACCATCATGGACTTCTTAAAACTTCCAAACATAGCTTTATTATTTCCAGTGTA